GAGCATTTAGAGCGTGTTAAAAACAAGCAAACGTCAATATCTTATCTTTCTCCTGAAATCCAAAATGAGTTTATAAATCTCATGGCTTCACATGTGCGAAATTGTTGTTTGTCAGCAATTCGTAGAAACAAATACTATGGTATTCTGCTTGATTCCACACCTGATTTAGCCCATCGTGAGCAGTTGGCCCAAGTGATTCGGTTTCTTGACATTGACTTTAAGACAAGAAAAGTAGAAGTCAAAGAGTCATCTATTGACTTTATACATATAAAGGAAAAAGACGCTGCCAATATTGAGAAAACAATAAGCACAAAATTAGAAGCAGATGGAATTTTATTGAGTGATTGTTGTTCCCAATGTTATGATAATGCTGCTGTCATGTCAGGTCATCTGTCAGACGTTCAACAAAGAACAAAAATCCAAAAGCAGTGTTTATAAACTGTGACAACCATAGTTTGAGCTTAGCATGTCTTCATGCTGCAAGTCAGGAAACAACAGTTATTACCTTTTGGTATAATTGAAGCCATTTATAATTTCTTTGCTCATTCAACAACTCGATGGGACGAACTGTAGCAGTAGCTTAAGATCTCTGTCAAGCGTGAATCAGAAACACGGTGGAGTGCAAGAGAAAAGGCAGTAAAAGTTGTACATGAAAACTGGATGAATTGCTAGGACTCTTAGAGCAATTACGTGAGAATGGCAACACGGCTGAAACAAAATGTGGTGCTCATAATATTCTGCAGTGCATGCTTACATTTGATTTTCTTGTATTTTTGCATTTTGGAGAAATCTTTTATCATCTATAAATCGAGTGCAGAAACGTCTTCAGGACCCAAAAATGAATTTTAGAGAAGCAGATGCTGATCTTCATTCTTTGAAAGAGAACTGATAGAATCACGTGAAAAGTCCTGTCAAGAAGCACTTAAAGTGGGCAAGAATCAATGTGAAACTTGGAGATTGACCATTGAAAGAAGAAAAATACATCGTAAACGAATGCCTGGTGAAAATGCAGCTGATGCTGGATTGACTGCTAAACAGGAAATTTATTGCATCATGAAGGACGTTATTGATCGCTTGATTACAGAAATAACAGGAAAATTTTCTCGCTTACTAGATTTAGATTCACAATTTGGTTTATACTAGATGTGTAAAATATTGTTTTTGGAGATTTCGAAGACGGAAAATTGCAAGAAAAATGTTCTGACTTAGCAAAGAGCTATCCAGGTGATATTGATGGACCAGAATTGTACAGAAAAATTAAAGACTGTTGAATATTGATAAGTAAAAGAACACAGACCGATTTTCCTGAACCAATGGTTGCAACCGATTATGGTGAAGATGTTTTCCCAAATTTAAGAATTGCATAGCAGATTTTGTTAACAATTGGGGTTTCTATTGCTAGTGGTGAAATGTTCTTCAGCAAGCTGAAATTAATTCTTACATATTTGAGAACCTCAATGACTCAAGAACGACTTAGTAACTTGGCAATATTACGTATTGAAAAAGACGTACTTAATACCTTAAATTTTGATAGTTTAATTGATGCATTTGCAGCAGCAAAAGCACGAAAGGTTCATATAATGTAACCATGAATACCAGAATGCTACCTGTACAAGATCTAGTTAAGTATATGTACAGTTTTGTAAACTAATAAAAATTGTTATTTGTAAAGTTAAGTAGTATTTTATCAATCTGTTTTATAATCCATGAACACCACAAGTGACTGGCTCCTCATATGAAACATAAGTTTCAAAACTAGGAATATAATAGAAATTTATTCTGCATGCTTGAAAGATTACTCTAGCTATGTGTCTTTGAACAATACTGGATGACAAAAATATCAAAATGGTTTACAAATTATACAAGTACACCTAGTAGACTATACTTCATTAGTTCCAGGTTTAGAGTTGTGATATCGTGAGATGTTATCTTGTGACTTTATTTTAGGCCTGTGTAAGGCGGTAATTAATTCTTTATGTTCTTGTCATTAAGTGGGTATTGAGTCAAAAAACAAATATTCAAAACATTTCAAAGGTGGGGGCGCCAAAAGTGTCTTTGTCCCCGGGTGCTGAGAACCCTTGCTACGCCACTGGAGAGTGGAGAAGGGTAAAACAAGAGACGAAATACAAAAAGCCGGAGAACAAGCACTTATACGTCTGTATGGCGGAGTTCCAATTGAGGAATTGGATTTATTGCGCTTCAGACATTTTGCACGAAAGTTGTTTCAAGCAAAACACACGTACATGTACATACACTTCTTCCTACATCCGCACAATACCACAGCATGAGGGTATATTTTCAAGTACAAACATGGATCGACTCAAATGACAAAATGTTACCACAAGAGTGGGGATGGTCAGTTGTAGGCAGTGGTGGGATCCAGCCGGTTCGTGCGAACCTGTTCTTAGAATTTAATGACCTCCACGAACCGG